TTTTCTATTGCTGTGACAAAACCTCATGAGCAAGGCAGCTTAAAAAAGAAAGCATTCAATTTGGAGGCTCATGGTTCCACGGGGTTAGAGTTCACGGTTATCATGGTAGGGAACATGGCAGCAGGCAGTCAGGTGTGGTGGTAGAGAAGCAACTGAGAGGCTACATTTTGATCCACAGTTTGAGGCACATAAAGAACTAACTGCAAATGGCTGTTCAGTTAGGGCTTTTAAAATCTCAACATACGCCCCTCCCCCCCCACCCAATGTCACACCTTCCCCAACAAGGCCACACCTCCTAATCCTTCCCAAGCAGTTTCACCAACTGTAGATCAAGTATTCAAATAGACAAGCCTATGGGGAGGAGATCCTCATTCAAACCGCCACAACTATCTACTGCTCTTGCTGTAGCTTTCTCCCTGTAAATCTAAGAAAATGGCATTTCATCCAAGAATATTTCCCCCACCACCTACTTGCAACAGTAAGTTCCAAAATGCCAGGTCCCCCACACTGGCCCACACCATTGCATTAACAATTATGTCACAGAATACTGTCAGATCCTAAATCTAAAATAGTATCCTGATAATTAAAGTTACAAATGTGTAAACACACCTGCTAGACCATCAGCCTTCTCAAAGCATGACGAGATGGGCTGGGGAGATAGCTCAATGAGTAAAATCTTATAACCATGGGGACCAGATTTCAGATTCCAAGCACTCATTTAAAAGCTGGGAATGGGCATGTGCCTTTACCCACAGTGCACACTTTGGTGAGAGAAAACAGTGAGGAATCCCTCTCTCAAGGGAATGATAGCATAGGACAACCAACATTCTCCCCTGGCTTTTGCATGTGCACTCATGGGCATATATGGGCACACATTCATAGACCACACACACACACCAAAAGAAAAAAGAAAATGAGTGAAAAGAAGAAATATAGAAATAACTAGGGGCTGAAGAGATGGCTCAGAGGTTAAGAGCACTGACTGCTCTTCCAGAGGTCCTGAGTTCAATTCCCAGCAACCACATGGTGGCTCTCAACCATCTGTAATGGAATCCAATGCCCTCTTCTGGTGTGTCTGCAGAGAGTGACAGTGTACTCATATACATAAAATAAATATTTAAAAAAAGAAAGAAAGAAAGAAAGAAAGAGAGAGAGAGAGAGAGAGAGAGAAAGAAAGAAAGAAAGAAAGAAAGAAAGAGAGAAAGAGAGAAAGAGAGAAAGAAAGAAAGAATCATTGTTGCCAGGCATCATGATGATGCATGCCTTTAATGCCAGCATTTGGGAGGCAGAGCCTGGCAGATCTCTGTGAGTTGGAGGCCAGCCTGGTCTACAATGTGAGTGCTAGAACAGCCAGAACTATTCAATGAGACCCTGTTTGGAAATAACAAGGAAGAAAAAGAAGAAGGAGGAGGAGGAGGAGGAGGAGGAGGAGGAGGAGGAGGAGGAGGAAGAGGAAGATGAAGAGGAGGAGAGGGAGGAGGAAGGAGGAAGAAGAGGAAGAGGAAGATTCTCTAACTACATCATACTTTGAGCCTACATGGAAGTATAGATTATATAGTTCATTGATCCTTCCTTACCCTGCTATGGGCAGAATCTACCACTGAGATTGTACTTTCCCTTGCAGCTTTCTTTCTCCAAGGAAGGGTATCAGTGGAAGTGGTATTTGCTTGCATGGTTTGCCTGGATGCTTGGAAGCATCTGCCATAACATGAGCAGGCCACAGGAGCCCCAGAACACCTATGTAACACATTAGAACTCAGCCTGTGGCTTACAGTCAGGATGCTCTCAGAAGCTGAGCCTGCATTCGCCTGCAGACTTGTGAGTGTGACAATGAATACCTGTTGCTATAGAAGAGGAAATTCCATTGCGCTGCCAGAATTGAGTGATACAATGTTATCATTTGGTATATATTGGCATTTCTTATCTGTTCACTTACTGTGTCCCTTTTCTTCATCTAAAAGAGAACACTGGCTGCAATCAGTGATTTCCAGCTTGCACCCAACTGTCATAAACTTGCAAGGGCCACACTATTAGTACTGGTGCCCTCCTGCTTTCTGTTTGTTCCACTATCTTATAATAATAAATAAGCCTGAAATAAACAATTAAGGAACCGTATAAATATTGCTGAAACTGAACTGGTGGCTGGCAAGAAGTACCCCATGTGATACGCAGTGGTAACAGGTTGTGTGCTTTTTAAAGCCAACAGTTGTTCTAGTAAAACAGGTGAGACAGAGTCTAAAGAATCAACCTAACAAGAGGCATAGGCTGTGAACCTGTGGACAATGGGGCTCACCTCACTCATCCTCCGCAATGCACGGAACTGAAGTCTGGGGCTTCTTACAACATAATAAAAGGGAGAGCATGTGCCATACTATTTTAGAAGAATAATTTAAAATGTAAGTATATTGAATCACTAGTGAAAAGGGATTTTTTTTGCAAGTAAAAGAAAAATGAAAATCTAATCCCTTAGGGTGCAGGAAACCAACTGACTGATGTTAAAAAGCATTTACTTAACCAGAACGTACTTAAATTGGAAATCTGAGGTATCGAGAAAAATAGAAGAGCATGAATTTTGTTTTATCTTCTTTTAAATCATCATCAAGTTTAGAACTAACTAATGGGCCCAAAATGCCCTACTAGAAACACACAATGCACAAAGTTGTTAAATCTGCCTAATGGCAGAAACAAGAGCCTTTGGGTGAACAGGCAAGCAGGCAGTCAAAAGATATCAACATCACAGTGGACTCTTCAAAGGTGGGCTCTGGGTATGCTGGGGAGTCCATGTTTCACGCTAGACTTGTGCAGACCACAGCACTAAAATCTTAAATGAAGGCCATGGCAAGGTCATGGGCTCTGGGTCAAATAAAAGTACTCACCATCACAGTATAGTGTGGCAATGGAACTAATTCTTTTCAGTCTTTCACAATTAGAAACATCTAGGGGAAACAGCAGGACCTGCCTCACTTGGGCTCTGCTAAGTTTAGAATAAGGTAAGGAATGTGCGTGAACACGTGTGTGAACAAGAACACCAGTGGCAATAGTAATAGTAACCCTTGACACACCTGGCATCTGTGTCCTAACCAGTATGGTCCAGTTCACAATTTGCTCATATAAAGCTGAATTCCACAGCGTCATACTCACATTCAGGCCTAGCTCCCATAAGGTGATGGGTCTCTGGACACAACTCATACTTTTCTAATGAATTCAAGGAGAAAGATGCTGAAAATCAGGTTTTCACTATTACAAAGTTAAGACCTGGTCCTTCATCCCTGATTTATCCACCCAAGAAAGTCTCACAAACCATACCTCCTTTCCCAGAAACTATCAAAAGGCTCTTATTACAGTTCAGAAGCAAACCGACAAGATGCCTCTCATGAGAAGGTAAAGTCCTCTTCCCCACTGCCACCTCCATCCTAACTGCAAAGCAAGTATGCATCCTTCTTGCAAAGGAGAAGCAGGCAGCCTTCACTTCCACGAGTTGAGCTAGACTGTCAAATCTAAAAGAATCCTTTCTGTTCGTCTAAACACTATTAGTAAAGCACATTTCCCTGTTTCAAGAACATCTTATAAACCTACCAAATCTGATATAAGAACAAAACTACATACTCAGAAACCCTGAGTTCACAAGGACAAGGGTAGGGTGACCATAGGAGACAACGTGCCACACCCTTCTCTCAGATAGCTCAACAGTAAGTGCATCTCTTATGAAGACTGCAATTCTGTAGGAAAGGAAAATCATTCCAACCTGCTGTACCAGCAGCCCATGCCCGCTTCGCTCTTTACACAGATTCATTTCATGTCTAAGCCAACGACCTCAGCATCCACAGCTATAACTAGTGATGGACAGGGAAGACAGGAGAACACAGGGCGAACATACTTGCTTCTAAGCCCATTTGCGACGAGTTGGCTTCCCGCTTTTCTCCTTCTCACAGCTGGAGTCCTACCTGGTGGACAAACCAATGGTTAAGTAAAACCTCTGATTTAAAGAGCCAACCAGAAAACTAACCAAGACAAGTGGGAGCAGCCCTCCTCCCCAGAGCATTGATTGGTTCTTACGGTTCCACGGTCCCATTCTACCCACATAAGTGGCAGGTGAGGCTGTCAGTCACGGAGAGAGCTGACAATTCACCGCTCTAGGAGTAAATTGTCTTTCATCCAGCAAAGGCAGGTAGCCGCCTAAAATCGATCTTCTCTTAACAGAGCGGACCTTCCCTCTGGCGAGGAGGAGAAAGACCCCTAACTACAAAATAAATTATGTAGGACTGAACAGAGGAGAGTTTACGAGTACTATTTGATTCTCACACACTGAAGGAGCCCTTATTCTTCACTGTCCTAAAAACGATCTTTCAAAGGCTCGGATAATAATAATAATTTTTAAAGGTACCTCTTTGTGAGTACCCCTTGTGTAATTAGGAGGTGGGGAGAGAATCGGTAGAAATGCTGTTTAATTTCACATCGTATCCTTTTTCATACACCACCTCCTACCCCTCCCCAGTAAATCATCTTCATTTTCCCAGGCATGAATTTTTCTTTTTATAACCTGCGTCCCTCCCCCGCCTCCCTTTCCCCTGGAGCCCACCCAGACAGCCAGGCTCACAACCCCCGGGGCTGGGGGTCCAGTCTTCTCCACTTTATTCAGCTTGCGGTTCTGCGAGACCCCCTCCCTCGTGAGCATCCCACCCCTCGCGGCAAGAAGGCAGCCAAGCAAAAGGAGGGGGTCTGCAGAAAAGAAAGGCGAGGACAGTGAGGGTGGCTACAGGAGAGGGACTGCGGGAGGTGGCCCGGGGTGAGCGCCGGAGGAACTGTGCACTTGTTCCAATCCGGGGGTTTAGACAGCGAGACAAATCCGCCCTTAGGCCGCCCCATCCCTTCCCCCGCCCGAGAGAGCCCCGAGGAAGGTGGCTGCGTCTCCCCTCAGCTCCCCCGATAACGCATTGCAGCTGCCCACGAGCGCCGGGGACCCGCACGAGGGAGCCGGGCCCCCAGCGTCGGCGTCTCACCTTAGCGATGCTCGCCCCGGCGCGGTCCCACATGGATTTTTACAACCTCGCGTGGCCGCGGCGCCGGGCGGCCGGGAGGAGCAGGAGCGATCAGGAGCGCGAGACAGCGGAGCGCGGGCAGCGCGGGGAGGTGGCGGGGAGGTGGCGGGGAGCGCGGCCAGCGCCAAGCGCCGGGGCCGGGCCGGGCGGGGCCGAGGGGGCGGCGCCCGCCGCAGTCCCGACACGCGCGCTCTCGGCCGCTCGCCCAGGCCCTGACTCACATTCCCAGCATTCCCGAGGAGCTTGGAGGGGCCGCGGCTAGGACCTGGGCACCTCCGCGGGGGGCAGCAGAGAGTCGAGTGCGCGCTCCGCAGCGCCTCCTGGCATCCTCCTGTCCGAAGCACCTGACCTCCCAATCCTCCCCCAGAAGCCCCTCCAAAAGCTGCCAGACACTTCTAGGGAACAAGAACAGCTCTTGCCTTTTAAGTTAACCTATAGAACTGGAGTGGGGGTTCCTATGCCCTGGTACCATCCATTTCTTTGCAGGTCCATAGAAGGATGACACCACACGACATCTACTTTATTGCCACCTCCTTGTCCCTCAAGAAAAAGGCAGATAGAAAGTGAAAGGGAGAGCAATTGAAGGTCCTGTTCATCATATGCATTAGATGTGTCGTCTGATTCCCATTTAAGTTAGAAAGATGGGCCCTGAGTTCACGCAAGTGCACACCGTTCCAGGTAAAAAGCATGAGAAGGCGGACAAGGTTTTCATAGGCAAAAGCTTCCACTCAGCAAGCAGTCTTGAACCCCTGCTGCTGCCACTCAGCACTAGGGAGGGAAATGGAAGCGTCAGAGGTAAGTAGTCAATTCCAGAACAGCAGTGATTTCCTTTATGCCCTGATGAGTGTACTTCCAGCAACTTCAGTGGCCAGATAAGAATGTCTCCTGCTGGGAAGCTCACACAAATAAAGCGGATCTGGATCCGGATCCGGATCCGGATCCAGCAGTGCGGTGAGTCGAGGAAGGAATATTAGTGACTGGGGACAATCCACCCTCCCACCCTGAAAGGGAGGAACTCTTGTGTTATTTGCTCAGAGAGCAGGAGGATGCCTCCCTATGGCAGCCTAAGTGTCTCTGCCTTTTATAGCCAAGTCAGTTAAGGTTTCCATAGCCTCCGGGCGCTCATACTCTTCTTTCCATTCCCAACAAACAGTGGTCATTCTCCTAACCCTGGTACTTGAAGGACAAAACCAAACTATATCTATTGTGTTCTGTACGATGTGGGTAATTGATAACCTGGCGTGTTACACGTGTTACACGTGAGAGCCATTTGAGATTCTTGACATACCTCATACTGAGTATTTTCTAAAATGTGACTGTCGTAATTTGCTTCTCTGTGCTGTGATAAAAAAAATGACCAAAACCAATGTAGGAGAGGGAAGGGTTGGCTTACATTTCCACAGCACAGTTCATCATCAAGCAAAGCCAGGGCCAGAGCTGAAGCAAAGATCGCGGAGGATCACTGCTTACTGGCTTGCACCCCATGGTTGGCTCAGTTTACTGTCTTATTTAACCCAGCCAAGACCATGAGCCCAGGGTTGGTACCACCTACCGTGGGCTGGGCCCTCCCACATCAATTATCAATCAGGAAAACACTGGCACCCAGAACCCAATCTGATGAAAACCAGTCCTCAAGGGAGGTTACCTCTTCCCAGGTAACTCTAGTTCATGTCAAGTTGACATGACTAACCAGCACAGAGACAGCATGCTTTAAGTGTGTGTGTGTGTGTGTGTGTGTGTATCTGTGCAGACACACTTTCTCAATCACTCTCGCAAAAACTGTAAAATAGGTAATATCTTTCAGGAAAGCCAGGTGACATATCCAAGATGGCACAATTATAGATTTTTTAAAGTACAGTGTTAAACGTTCACTATTGGTGGCCTTCATTCTCTCTATTCCATTGACCTGTAAGTTCTAAATAGGAATCCTTGGGTGTTCAAAAGATAATCTGATATGTATACAAGCCCAAGAATAGTTCGTTCTCTCTCTCTCTCTCTCTCTCTCTCTCTCTCTCTCTCTCTCTCTCTCTCTCTCTCTTATGCACACACACACAGAGAGAGAGAGAGAGAGAGAGAGAAAGAGAGAGAGAGAGAAAGAGAGAGAGAGAGTCGTGATTTTCAACAGATTTCTTTCAAAGGAGGTCCTTGACTCAGGAAAATATGGAAAAAATATAGTCATTTTTTTGTAGAAAACAAAGGACTGAAGATTTTAGAGTTCTTAAGCACATCATTCTCGTCCTCTCTGGGACTTGGTTTCCCATCTGAAGATTTTAAAAGCTAAATTAAAGTAAGTTAAGATGTCATCCAGCTAACCTTATCTAACTTAATGAGATATATATATATATACATATATATATGTGTGTGTATATATATATATATGCATATACACACAGACACATTACCCCACATGCCAAGTGCTAACATGTAGCCCCTTACCCATCTGGACAGAAAATTACAATACAATCTTGTCCATACCAAAGACACAGCTCTCAATTCACAGAGAATAAGTAACAATTTATTCTAAAGCCAAATCTGAGTAACTGTGGCCCAGAAACACAAATATAGGTTATCCCAAACTGCATGCTCTGATGCAGTAACACTTTAATGACATTTTTATGGTTACAGAACAAAGAAAGTTGCAAGTCAAAAGACTTTTCCAAAAGCATCAGAGGAAACCTCAGGTAGGAAGGTCACAGACAAGCACGGAAATCTCTGCTGTAGGTCTCGATGTTATTTGATGACATTTTTAGCTTTTGGATTTGTAGAAGCTAGGCATCTGCACACAAGAGGATTTTCCCAAATCGTCACAAGGATGCCAGGTCATACACAGAGGTGGGCAGGTAAGTGGCTATTTAGGATGCTAAGACAACCCAAAATAATTTGACTCTGGGTCTACAACATTTCAACTCTGCATGATCACTGAAGCTCTGATCAGTCAGTTAGCCCTGCAGAGTGTGTAACAGGGAACAGCTTTTGTGTAGAAGCTTCAAGTCAATCTTTCGCCTCTTGTCCCCATGGTCTTCTTGTTTGTTTTGTCCTATTTTCTTGGTTTCTCAGATCTTCATCATAGTCTCTCCTCCAACGGTGTCAGAGAACACTTTTCTGTGGCAGATTTTTTTTCCTCACAAATGTATTCATTCATTTAACAAATATGTACTTAGCATCTATTCTTGGCCTGGGGGTGCAGAACCTCTTCCCTCAAAATTTAGACAGTTTAGTGAAGGCAACTGATAAAAAGCAGGCAACTCCAACCACCAAGGTACTGGGAACTGTAGAAGCATGAAAGGCAGTCAACCACCCTGAAAACAGATCAGGAAGAAGATCCCAAGACAAAGCTTGCCATAACCTACCAGGCCACCCTGTCCTGTGTGATGCCACACACATGTTGTGAACCCAGCCATGTTTGCATCTTTGTTTACAAGATGGACACCTGTCTTAGAGTGGTCCATAATGGCCCTTCCTCAGTACTTGAAACTGAACTTTGAATGAGTTCACTAGCCAGCACTGAATGGTAAGCTCTGAACTATGGTATCCAGCAGTGTTATGCATGTCTGTGATCTCAGCATTTGGGAGGTAGAAGCAGGAAGATAGGGAGTTCAAGGTCAGCCTAGACTACATCCAACTGTGTTACCAAAAAAACAACAATAAAACCCCTACCATAATGGCAAAGTCACTCAGAAGCAAAATCTAAAAATGCTTGCCCCAAACAGCTGCCATATAGAGAGGAAAACAGATAGCTGTATAAACAGAAATAAGATTCCTTAAGACAAAGCACTTGGTTATGGAACAGCTTATGAGACATCACAGTGTAACTCACCAGTATCTCAAACTTACGGTGCCTTAGACATAGTTCAAGGTTTTTACACACCGATCCTTATTTTTCCCGAGATTGTCTATAAGTTACCGACCTCCTCGTTTGTCCTGTTACACAAGCCCAACCCTAAGAATGCCACTATGGCTCTTCCTGCTTAACAGACACATCCATACCAACAGCCACTCCGTCAGCTCCACCTTGGCCTGAGCCAAGCCTTCTCAGTTTCTGAAACAAAATAGAAAAAGTGTGCTCCAATAGAAAAGGTTCAGAGCTCTAAAGTTCAAAGTTTTAAAATATAACTGCAGCCAGGTATGACAACACATGCCTATAATCCTAATGCTTGGGGAAGGACACGGGGGACCAGAGAGACCAGGAGTTTAAGGTCATCCTTGGCCAAACTGTGAGGTTGAGGCCAGCCTGAGCTGTCTCAAAAAAAATATATATATATATGTAAGCTATATATATATACATACATATATATCATTACCCAAACATTATTCTATTGTCATGAACCATCATAAACCTGTCAGTGTGGATATGTCTCCTCTCCTCTCTCTCTCTCTCTCTCTCTCTCTCTTTCCCTCCTTCCCCCTCTTCCTCTTCACTCCTCCATTTAATCTTACATTCATTCTGGAAATGAATGTTATGCCAATAATTACTTTTGAGGTCAACAATAGGAAAAACAACTACACATACCTGTATGGCTGTGATATGTGCTAGGCCTCTCTCTAAGTAGTTTGTAGTCTTGTACTTTCTACTCCTAAAACATTCAAATGCTATATCTTTATAGCATTTAATATAGCATATAATATAGCATATATTAATAATAATTATTATTAAAATTATTATTATTTAAATTAATTACATATTATTAATTAGAGATAAGAATTCACAGAATAGGTAATTTTTCTGAATTACATTTACAGATTTGCAACTAATCTGGAAAGTCTATGCTAAATGCCCTAGACTGGACTGAGGGAAGAGAATTATTCTGCCCTGGGTGCAAAACTGGGGTAATGTATGTGGTTACAGAGAGTAAAGTGATCCCAGTAACCAAGTGCGATATATTTTTATTGTTTGTTACAACAGCCAGGCATAGTGGCACACACTGTTAATCCCAGCACTCGGAAGGCAGAGGCAGGTGGATCTTGATGAGTTCAAGGTCAGCCTGGCCTACGCAATAAGTTCCAGGACAGCCAGCGCTCATAGTGAGACTCTGTCTTTAAAAGAAAATTATTTGTAGTTGTTTGTTACATTTACTTATTTGTTTATATAGATGAACTAGTGTCATGACACTTAAGTAGAGGTTAGAGGTCAGCTTGTGGGGGTTAGTTCTCTCCTTCCACCATGTGGGT